ATGTAATTGTGTTTAGAGAAATTCATGTAATTATTATTATTATTTTTTTTTTATTTGTTTCCACAGCAATCAGAACGTTTTATTACTGTTCTGTAAGCTGGGAAAAAAAATTATATTCGATAAAACTAAAAAATGAGTATGATATCTTTTTCTCAAAAACTTTAGGAGACATATCACAACTATGTATCATTTTATTTCGCCAGTTTGATACCCTTGTAAAAATGAAATATTCAGCTTCCCACTGTATCAATCATTTACTAATAGCAGTTTGTTTTGGAAATTTTTCATTTTAATTTTAATTGCTTGTTTAATACAGTAGCGATGTGACAGACATTTATGCATGCATGCTTTAATAATTAATCCATTTCAACATTTTGCTTAGCGAGATAAAAACGACATCACAAGCCAGTTTTATTTACCAATGCGTGAAATTTCAGTTTAGTTTGTATATAAATATTTATATTTCCGCAGTGAATTAATTAATAATCGCGTAATTTATGAAAAGCATTATTATTCGGATGGCTTATGAATTTACAATGCGGATCCAATGTACGATTCGAAAACACACATCGTGCAAATAATTAGGCATTAACTCGGATCCATGGATTTTATCCTATAACGACGGTTTAGCTGTTTCCAGGGATCACGATCTATTTATTGTCATTGACATATTATTATTGTATTAATGTTTAATATTTGACGCACATCGGTATTAAATTCTGTTAATTACTTGAGGGATTTATAAATTAAGCGCGTTTATAGATTATAAGCGAATTCTGCAAATAGACGGGTGCGAAATTGTTCAGTTCTCTTAATTCTTCTTATAATTAAAATATAGCTGATCAAGTTGACTTGGTATAAATGTGTTGCTATTTTTTTTTTAATTCTTCATAGTTTCTTGTAAATTGAAAATTATTGATAATTTTTGTGTATTCATTTTATAGTAGTGTTGGATCAAAGCTGATATAAGAAATCTGTTACACACGTGTTTGTGTGGATTGTAGTTAGATAGTTATTTTTCACGACAATTTAAGAGTTTCCAAGCGGATATTTCGAAAACAGTAAAAATTGCGCGGAATTTTTCTTGTGCATCGGTATTTTTTTAAATAAACCATAAATATCATTGGTTCATCTCAAACGATTTAAGTATTACTTGCATCAGGAGTAGTAGGAGAGACTGGGTACGGTTGTACCATTTTTTGGTCAACAATAATTTTGTTAATTTTCCAGTTATCTGGGAGAAAACTAAATCAAATGGTAATTTGAACATTTTCTTACGTAAAAATGTCAAAATGACCGTTTCAAACTTTTATATATAACTTTTAAACGTTGAAAAACGTAAAAAACCAATATCAAACCATATGACAATTCTTAGAACATACTAATAATGTTTATTTTACTCTTCGATTTTAATTATTTTTTCTCTTTGCCGCGAAAATTTGTTATGTGGCCTAACGACCGCTGTTGGTCAATTTGACTGCTGAAAAATAATGTTATTAAGGTAGTTGTTTCCGTCAAAATGTGGGTGGAGATTTATACAAAATATAACAAATGAACCAGACAAATCTAGAATAAAGTTCTGAGCGGAGTGTGAAGTCAATAGTAAATATATAGTAAGTGGGTTTTCCCTATTTGGGAAATGATAAGAGGACAGAAAAAGATTTGACCCAAGTTTCAAACATTATCCAATATAAATAAGTAACAGCAAAAGTGTTCCAAAAACTATTAGAATTTGCATTAGTACATTGTTTGGTGAAAATATGGTAGACCAGATATAAAATGTCTCTAGGAACATTTCAACATTTTGATCCTAGTTCGATAAATGCGTAAATAGTGTATAGAGAAACGACGAGTAAAAACATTTTTAGGCATGAATTTTTGTTTTAATTATAACATACATAATGTTTTTTTAACTCGAAATGCATATTCAAAATCTCAAGAAATTCAAGTTTTTATCAACACTTTCCACAAGGTTCGGCTTTGCATGGACGAAAAACTTGCGAATTTTTTTTTGTGAAAGTTACGAAACAACAAATACATTTTGTCAAATGTACATTTTTCAATTTATGCGTATGACATTCTGTATAAAAATTAGATTTCATTAGTTTTTTTTTCTTATAATTTCTTCTAGTAATTATATAAAAGAAAATTTAGATGAAAGTTTATGATTTTTTTAAATTTTATATACAGCAAATAATAAATTAATTATTATCTGAAATAAATAAGAAAATAGATAAGTTTTTAATAGTAGGTCAATTTGACCGCGCATCGTCGCCTGGAATATCGACTAAGCAGCATTACCCTTACACTAAGAAATTTATATATATATATATATATATATATATATATATATATATATATATATATTGTTGTTGTTATATAAATTTGGTGATTTAAACTGACAAGAATTGGTTTAGTAGTGCTATTGTGAACTATTATTATCATGAAATAATTAGGAGTATTTCAATTTACATTCCACTGAAGATGACATAAAATAATGTGTCGAAACGTGTGGAATAATAAAAAAATATATAATTTTTTACAATTTTTTAATTGATGTATTGCCTTGAAGGTAGATATATATATATATATATATATATATATATATAATATATATATGTAAATATATATGTTTGTATGTATGCATATATTTTGCCTTTAGTATGAGGCGCTGCAAATTCATATTTCATTTAGTTTATGTTTCAACCAGCGCTCATTCGTGAATCTTTTCACATTATCTGTTAGAGCGCGCTAACAGTTTTTATTTTATATACTCTATACGTATATTGTAAACCATGTACATATTTATAATTCTTAATGTTATATATTATATTATATCACTTTTATTTTTAATGTTTTTTATATTAGTTTTGTTTTTTATCTTCTAATCAAGATCTCATGTTCTTGATAGATATCCTGAAAATGGAACGTACACAGTTCCGAAATGTTAACAATATTTTTTTAATTTTTTTTTGCTTTTTTATTACTTAATTGATTTCATGTTTGAAGTATAACGCAACACATAAAAACCCAAGACTTAACTATCTAATATGTGTTACTTTAAAAATTTAAATTCTATTTTTGTTTTATTTGACCTTTTACATTTTTTTATTTGAATGTTAATATAAATTATACATCTCAGAGAGATCAAAAACGCATCGTAACATATCCTTGCCAAAACATTGGTTTATTGTACTGCAGAATTGACCCATCAGTTTACCTTAACAATCATGATCTAGCCCTCTAGTATAGTTGAAACCAATGAAAATTGAACACCTTACTTCATGGAACCAAGGGGCACCCTTAGCGCCTAATTTATTACCTCGTTAAAATATAACATGTTATAATAATAAAATTCTGCCAAAAATGCAGACCATTATCCTCCCTTCAGCTAAATTATTAATCATATATTTTATTCATACGCTATATGTGCATATTCATGAATAATTAATTTAGACTGTAGATTGTTTATTAATTAATGTTTAATATGTTTTTCATTACTTTCAGGAATTGCAAACTATATACTACGGGTTGCATGGCTTAGAAGCTTTAGCGCCCTACAGAGACTCTGTTCTTAGAGCACTTTGCAAAGTTGTGAGATACGAAAAGCACGAAGCAAATGATGTCTTGTACTAGTAAGTTGAAAATATTATTAATATTAAAAATATAATATAGGATCTAATAAAAAAAAGTCTGCTCGTTATAAGGTCGGTACCACCGATATCTCAAAAACAAGCAAAGTTAAGAGTTTTTTAACAACAATATTTGAAAGTAGAGGGGAAAAAGATGTGTGATCAGCCATCATCTTGATTCTTACGACGTTGATATCTGTAAGAAAACAGCAATATTTGAAAATCCATAACAAAAGTATTTGCTTCCGTTGTTATTTATTTTTGCTGCGAGCACTGTTGTTTAGTTTACGAGACCTTAATATAATTTTTAAATATACGTTATTTAATTGCTTTGTAATATATATTGTTAATTTTAAGTTAGATTCAGCAGTTTTTTATACAACCCTAAAAAAGCTGGGTAGGAGCCAATTGAACCTATACCTTGACAATGGTGTGAAAAATAGAAAATAGTAAATAAAAAAGTAAATTTAGTTAAAAAACAAGATTAAGTATATTTACAGGTATATTAAATAATTAGTTATTCCATCTCTGCTGATGAATATTTCTGACAAAATACCAGATCAAGGTTATATACAGTGTTTTCTATAAAAAAAGTACCCATAAAATTTATATTTTGCATGGGTTGAATAATGTAGCTATCATTTCGTCTCTTTAAAATTAAAAATAAGACATTGGACTCGTTTGCCACCAAGCTGTCTCATTTTCCGCCGTCTATGGTGTAAAAAGGTCCAGAGGAAAATTTTTTGAGAAACAGCAAAAAAACACATTTTTACAATGATGAATTAACTGGGAGTTTTACTAGACATAGACAGATAATTGTTTGTTTGATATGTGCTATTTGTTTTGATATAATTGGTTTGTTTTTCACAATATAAATGCTCAAAGCCAAATTGGATCTTTGTGCCCCGCTCTACGTTTTGCATAATATACCACAATCATAAGTAGGTTGACTTCTAATAGTCATTAGAAGAATCAGAAAATTATCTAACAAAATAATTCCTAAATGTATTCATGATTCATTATAGACAGATTTTAATTTATATGTTTATATGATAAAATTTTCTAAAAAAAAATGTTGGTTACATAGTTCTTTCTATTAATTTTTTTTTAAATTTCATTTTTTAATGAGGAAATTAATATACAATATCATCGTATTAAACTTTGACAACTATTTTGAAATTATAGGAAACTTTTAATTGATACAAGGCCAATTTAATATTTTTTGGTAAATACTTATTTTACTTATATTAGACATAGAAAGTATAATATGCAAGGCTATGTTACATTCCAATTTTTATGCAAAATGCTACTAAATACTGTCAAAATGTCATGCATTTACTGTGCAATCACTCATAAGTTATCAAGCAATATCTCAAAGATGCAGTTATGATAACATTGTTTTTTGACCTTTGTGTGTTTTCTAGGTTAGGTTTTCTATCTAAAACGTCTGACTACACAGCAACCACTTAGGATTTTGACTGTTTTTAGTACTATTTTATATGAAAACTGCTACTTAACATAGCCTTGCCTTGTAACATTGGTCTATTTTACAGCAGAATCGGCTTCATATTATTTTAAAATAGAAGAAAATTTTAATTGAAACAAAGCCTCTTTATTTTAATTTAATGTTTTTCTGCAAATTTTTTTACTTATATTTGCCTCGTTTATTTAAAGCATTTAGCCACCTAGAACATCAATTTAGGTTTTTAGTAGTTATATTTTCAGTTTATTATTTTATTTTATTTTAGTACCAATTTTGTAATACTATGAACTTTTGGTATGATACCATGAAACTGTTAATAAATTACATCACTTCATTTCAATAATCTATATTAAATATTAAAATTTAATAATCTTACCTCATTATCAATTTATTATGATGAATCGATTAATTTTGCAAAGTTTTATTTTATTCTTCTATATCAAATGAATTATTCATATGATATTTACATGAATTCAGGAATATATCACAGCGTGTTTTTTTAATTTTTCCGTTATATCGTATATCACTTTGAATTCTAATTTGAATATAAATATAAAATCAATTAGTGTTCGTGAAAAAATAAAGTTGCTCGATCGGTTCGGTACGACTTTCATTAGAAATATAGAAACGAGTTATTTCAGTTCAACATTTTAAACGACTGTTAGATTGAATACAAAATAATAAAAATAGAAGTAGAAATATATGTTACTTTCTTGTCGCTATTGCTATTGGTATTATATTAAAATGTGTTCTTATGTAATGTAATTGATATACAATCTATATTCTATATCAATGAAGTACAAAATTTATACCACTAATTACAAAAGTCATATTTTTTTTAAATCGTTTCGAATTCTCACAAAAGCATATTTATCGAAATTAATTTAGTCATCTGGCATTATCCATTAGAATTAATTATAAATTTATAAATAGGCTTAGATAACATTTTTCGTATTTTTCGGACAGTGAATGTTCCATCCAAATCTCAGAGGAGTATCTCTGAAGATTTACTTTCAAATATTGTTGTAAAAAATCGTAACTTTACTTGTTTTTAAGATATATGTGGTGGTCCTATACTTGTTGTATTATTATTTTGAAATTAATTATGTAAATGCATTAGTTGTAATTTTGTTAGTGCATTAGTTGTAATTTTGTAAAAAAAATATTTATTGATTTAATTTTTTTTTTCCAGTACTGGTGAACTGTCAACATGCTGGTATATTTTGCTGTCAGGGTCCATTTTCATTGATGGGTCTATGTTCCTGCCTCGATCAAGGTAAGTTTTTTTTTAATATTATTGAAAATATTAATATTTATTATTGTGATACTATAAATTTTTAATATCAAATAAAATCTGGTCTAATGACACTAATAATATTAACTACGGAGATTAAATGGGTTTTTATTGTTCTGTGTTATGATGATTCGAGTCTGTTATTGGATTTTTTGAGGATATAAAAGGTAATACTAAAATTTTACTATTGCAGAGAGTTATTACTTTTACTTTTATGTAAACTATTAATATTATTTTGAATTTTGGAAAAATCAGAAAAATATATGAATAAATTTACATAAAAATAGGGCTAAAATATATAAAGATTTTTTTTTCAACAAGTTAAGTTCAAAATTGAATTATTAAAAAAAAACGTTTATGGAAAAATTAGACTTGTATGCCTGTGTGTACATTGATAGTTAATTTTGATATAATAGTTAATTGGTTTGATAAAAATAGTAAATTTTGATTTTGAATCTGGGAAGACCTTATGCCTCAAATAAAAAATAAATATAATTTTATATCATTATCAGTGGATATGGAAAATTGGATAATAAACATCAGTGCATATGAAATACGTTAATAAAAATGAATATTATAGGCACTAGAACATATGACAAACATTTACAGTAATTTTAGATAAATTAACGATTGTCGTTGTATTGAATTTTAACAACCTTTTGAGAATACAGAAAATTCAATTGACCCATCCGAAGCAAAATCAGTCCTAAGTTTGTATCTCTCCCAAGTCAATATTGAAGTCAATAAAATTTAACTTTACAAAATGTTATTACTTTTACTTCTATTATAAACGATTGAAAGTACCAATGGCCCCATCTTTGTTAACAATTGAAAGAAATTAAATCATAAGATCAAGTATGTGTCATACTCGTATTACAAATGTATGAACTTTGATGCACTCTTACAAGTGTATTTTAGTGATGTTGAAACTTAAAGAAATGAGAATATAGGAAATTTTAGTTTTGGATTCTATAATCATATTAAAAATATATTAGCTCTAGTATTGATATATAACCTATATAGCGAAAGAAATAAATGAAATAGTATCAACTGATGCAACTGACGTTATCAGGAATAAGTTATTGTGATCGCCAAAAAATAGAAAATGAAAGTTTTTGCTTTTTGGAATACTTCAGGAAAAATGGAAGCACGTATGTGTGTTTTTTTGTATAGCGAAGGAAATGCATTTATGCATCCCAGACTGGTGTTTTGTCTGGGTATGTCGGACTCAATACCGCCTTGGTATAATACCGACTAAAACCTCCGCTTTGCCCTTGCCTCTAGTCCCCACGAAAACCGCCGTTAGGCATTACTTCGTGGGGGGAGGATCTAGAATGTTATAATTCTTAACTTATTTTATACTCATCTTTTAAATGCGCGAAGTCCCATTCGCCCTTTCTTTTTCCATAGAACGCAGGTCAATGTACATAAAGGTGTGTGCGTGAGTGTGTGTGCGTATGTATGGATACAATTTTTCGTCCACGTTTTCAGGAGCACGGATCTACCGATTTTAAATATTCAAAAAGAATTTGATACCTATTGATAAGGAGATGTGCTGATTAGTTTATGAAGCAAAGAGTGCAGAAAATGAACATGAATTTAGGGAGAACAGAGCATCCAATTTGAATGATTCAAAAAACATTCAATTCGTAATTATGAGAAAAATTGGTGATTAGTTTTTTGCAAAGACAAATCCAGCCGTTTTGGAGATAAGGAGATAAATGTGCAAAAAAATGTAGTTTTTGAAATAACGAAGCATCCGATTTAAATGATTCAAAAAACATTTTACTTCTGTTGACAGTATGAAGAAACGATTAGTCTATGCGGATGGCAAACATTTTATATAATCCTATATTAATAAATAATATTATAAATTTAATTCCTAAAAAATTACTATATAATACTAATAAATTTAATTTCAAAAAAACTGGAATGGAAAATTACAGCAAGTTGCTTAAGGCACGACGCACCCGTAGTTTTACGATGAGATCATTGAAATTTTATGGGTCTATTTCTCATCACTAATATTTTTTATTCTTCTTATGATCAGGCAATTAAAATCATCAATTGAATATGTAGAGCGTCCATTTCTTAATCAATTTACATCAATTGCCAGTGATTATATACTTTACAGATTTATTTGATTTGCGAAAAATGTGTAGAAATATAATTACTAGATCGAAATATGGTACAGAAATAATTATATATATATATATATATATATATATATATATCGACTCATACGTCAAATGTTCATGTTTCAGTCCAATTTACGTAATTAATTATTGAGAAATGTTTTGCTTATAATTGATCAACTGCTATTGTTTTCTAATTGTGATCGTAATTATAATTTTTTATTGTCAAAATGCGCAACACTATCGATGTCGATAATTTTTGTTCCTTGCTATGTTTGCTAATTTTTAATCACTTAAAATCTAAAATAATTTATAGAACATATGACATATTTCTAAAAAAGATGGATGCTTTCGGAATAAACCATATATTGGATATTATAGAAACAATTCATTAATTTATTATTGTAATTTCTTTCTTATCAGCTGAAGGTTTACTCAGCGTTTCAATTTTATTAACTTGTCGTAGGGTAGGTTATAGTAATCGTCCAATAATCGAAAATAAATTTTTTTACATATCTTTGCGTTTTAGAAGTTTCTGAACATTTTGGCATACCTTAGAAAAAAATAGTGTGTACATGGGTGTGTGCGTATTTATTTATTTATAGATACAATTTCGCACGGATCAACCGATTTGAATGATTCAAAAAGCATTCGATTCCTATTGATGCAGAGACGGGCTCGTGCTGATTAGTTTTTGGCAAAAGTCAAGTCGTTTCAGATATACGAGCAAAAAGTGAAGAAAATGAAAATTCGGTTTTTGCAAGAACGGGGCATCCGATTAGAATAATTTAATAGATATTACTTTTGTATTGGCGGGGAGACATGCTGATTAATTATGTACGGGGCAAAAAGTGTAAATATTAGCAATTTTTGACAGAACCGAGCATCCGATTAGATTGACTCCAAAACCACAAGTTACGCGTTGCATTGCCTAATTTTGTGTTGCAAATTTTAAGTTTTTCAATTAGAAGTTTTACTATAATTACGCATTAAGTACTACAGTTTTATATCTAATATAGTAAAAAATGAAAAATAGTATGTCTATTGACACATTACCCTAATTGTGATAAATAGTGAGATTACGATCGCCAAAATTTTTTGATATGATAAAAAAAATTGACATTTTTTCATCTTATTCACACCATGAATTTATCAACACTCGTTGTGCAAGATGTACCGATGAAAAAATCAATACAGTACATTTATTTGATTTTACTGAACGTTTTATAAATATAAATTATTTCATCATATCACAAATATGACGCATTTTGTAAGTTTATTCAAATTAATTTACGTACATATATCGTAATACTTTGTAAACACAATGATTTAAATAATTACCTAATTAAATTTCCATATTGACCAAAATTTCAAGATCATTTTAGGAACGTTGTTATGATGCATTTTTTTGTAAATTTACTTTAATAAATCATTTGTTAAAAATTGTTTAAAATGTCAAGAAAGAAGTTTAATAGGTATCAAGCGCCAAACTTGTTTTTATATTTTTACCAAAATATATTTATATACCAAATAACCTTTAATAAAATAACAAACATACCAAATGAGCTGTAACTTCTATTCAATAAATAAGTCCATAATTATATTGTATATGTTCCAATCAATTTGAATAATATTCTGAGTTTATGAGTAAATCGTGGTCCAGAATAATTTATCCAAGCATTTACTCACTTCCTAGATAAAATCCAATTTTATAGTAGATTTTGAAGTATTCAGGAGATTCAAAATAGTGTATAAACTATAGATAATATAATTTATAACTTAGCTAGAGTCTGTGTTTTATTCAGAATCACATAAAAGTTACTGGAGGAAGAATGTATTTTTTATAGGTTCTTAAATATTATCCACATTTATTTTCTATTTTTTATTCCTGTTGATCTATTTCGGAATTTTTTCAGGACCTTTTTCGCATTTATCTTCCCATTCTAATTTTGTCACTGCAATATTTTGGCGCAATTTTCTCAACTGTTTGTAGTTACATGGGACAGTACAATCGGTAATATTAAGGCCTCTGACTGGTGCATATAAACTTTCTGATGTGTACACCTGTATTGGAACAAACCACAAATTTAATGAAAATATTTTGGTTACATTTATATTTATACCTTGAAAATTAATCCAAAAACAAACTTGGGTTTATTATTTGTAACACAAGTGAAGTGATTAAATGAGGTATTAAAAATACTATTGTAGATACTTTTTTCTTAACATCCAGTGTGTTAGTCCAGTCATTATAGTAAGTTCACCTTGGAATTCGAGATACCCAACTGTAAGTCTGTAAATACTTGTATATTGACACCCTAAAGTTGTCTCAAAACCTACATATGGTATTGATATCCTACCATATGTAGGTTTTGAGACAACTTTAGGGTGTCAATATACAAATATTTACAGACTTACAGCTGGGTATTTCGAATTCCGAGATTCCTCCCTAATTTAAGCAAATGACTGGACTATGTTGCTTGAAAAACTATATTAAATGGAGCTGATATTCTATTCTTGTGGTTTTTGGAGTCAACTATTAAAATAATTTAATGATCTGAATCAATTACAATTCAAACCAAGTTTTTTGCGTTGCTTTCAAAATTAATTTATTATTACCTTTAACCAGAAGTCTTCTTCGTCGGCTACTTGATGGGCTTCTATGACCACAAAACCGCCTGATGGTGGGAAGAAATGGTGAATAATTTCCTTTCCTGAGGTAAATCCTTTCTCACCACCCAAAGCGGCAAAGAAGGGCGATATGTTTGCATCATAAGCAACGTGTACCATCATTCTTGTATCGCATGGTTCCAATTTGTGGTTCAATTTATCGTCCAATGTGTCTAAGAAGTACCTCAGCGTTCGACCTAAAATAAACAGGAAAGGGATAAACGTTGAGTAAATTCATTAAGGAAAAAGTAAATTAGCAATCAAAATTTATGTGGTTATTTTCTCATGTTATATCGATTATATCTATAATTATAATGCTCTATTTTGATTTTAACCCTACAAGGCACCTAGTTTCAAATGTGGTACACCAACATCCAGGGTTCTTATAGCCATAAAACTATGATTAGCGGCATGTCTTGGCATCTTTATAGATGCTACGGATATTTAGCAATGTAGTAATACAAATATTCACCAAAGGATTTATTTTTATTTTTATAGGTTTTCCTCGCTACTTCTGATTACCAGTTACATACAATATATATTTGTCACAAGTTTTAAAAAAAATGAACCTTGTAGGGTTAACTCTTTTCCCTCGCGCGTTGCAAAATTTGTATGTATTTTGTCGCCGGAGCGGCGGCATCCGAGCGGAAAGGGTTAAATTTTCCCTATTTTGATTTTAAATCGATTCAAATATTTCTGACTTGTTCATTGAGCATGTACCAATAAATAGTTTAAAGTGGTACAATTTATCTTCCAAGTAGTACTTCAGTATTCGACTAAAAATAAACAGGAAAATTGGGGAAGAATTTTGACTAGATTCATTAGGGAAAAAGTAAATTAGCAATTAATATTTATATGGTTATTTTCTCATGTTATATCGATCATATCTATATTATCATGTCCTATTTTGATTTTAACCCTTACCACTCGCGCATTGCAAAATTTGTATGTATTTTGTCGCCGGGGCGGCGGCATACGGGTAGAAAGGGTTAAATTTTCTCTATTTTGATTCGAAATTAAGTTAAATATTTCTGATTTGTTCATTGAGCGTGTACGTATTCGACCAAAAATAAACTGGAAAATTGGGGAAAAATTTTGACTAGATTTATTAAAAAAAAGTAAATTAGCAATCAATATTTATGTTGTACTTTTCTCATATTATATCGATTATATCTATATTATTTTGCCCTAGTTTAATTTGAAATTTGCCCTATCTTAATCAGAAATCGATTCAAAAATTTCTGACTCGCTTATTGAGCATATTCGAATAAATTGAATCGTTAGCAAAAATCTGGATATTTTCAGGTTTTTGTTTTTTACTGATCTTTTTTTGTATGAAAGAAACAAGCAATTTTAATTAAATACGCGAACTTTTAATGGAACTTTTTAAAGCTATTTAGTACGATATTTGAGAAAAGGATTTTCAAATTGGATCCATTTGGACAATCTTAACCTTGTCGTTTAACAAATAGTTTTATTTCTAGAGACCTTGAGAAAATTGTGTCATTATTTTTTACTGTGGTCCTAGAAATGTTATTAAAAGTATGAATACATGATGAAAATTTAAATGAACAAAAAGAATAAAAATAACCGAAAAGGTAAGGCCAGTTTGACTGAAGCCATGGGATGTATTTTTAAACTGCATGGGATATTTTAAAAAAAAATTATAATAGTTACAATCAATACTGCTACTCATAACTAACATATAAATTATAATAATAATTTGTATTATAAAATAATTATATTATTTTACTAACCTCCAGTAATTGTTTTAAGGTAATCAGTTGAAAAGGATATATTGACAAATTGATGCATCACTTTATAAAAACCGTCGGATATCTTTTCAGTATACCACTTGGGCAATTTGAAACCACTATAATACTAAATTTAAAAAAAAAACATAATTACCTATTTAATGAAATATTTTTAAAAAAATTGATTAATTAGTAAAAAACTTACAGTTGTTTCGTATAATTCATATAACGCATGTAAAATTTTCAAATAATTGTAATCCACTCTGGCTTCAGTGTGTTTTTTCAATGCTTTGAATACTTTTTGGAATTCTCTCTCCGATTTAAATAATGGCACCAATTTTTCTATTAATGATATATTTTGGGTCGGATAATAACTTTTGCAAGATCTGAAAAATCCTGATGCCTATAAAGGTACATAAAATAAAATAAATATATTGTTGTTTATATTGCTTTAATATGAACTTACAGCATCAGTAAATTCGTGGTTATGAGTAGTAGCCAATCTTCTGGTCGACCAATGTCTCTTCAAAGCCTTCTTCTTATTCTATCAAAGCAAAAATATTTTTTTGACAATTTATATTATAATTTACTTATAAATTAATTGTTTTGAAACGATTTTCAATATATGTTATACTTGCCCTTCCTCGAAGTCCTTCTCTCAAAATTAGTGCACTTTCACGTGTTACTATTGTATATTCGTTACCAGCTGCAGTAACTTTAGTTAAATGTTTAGTAACATATGGTCTTTCTAAAAATTGAGGATATAATTTTCTTAGTTTATCGCCAATTTCATACATAGTGTCTTTTCCCATCTGAAAATAAACAAATTGCCTAATTAACCAAAATCTATTAGTACCTGAGATTCTATTTCAGACATAGTGAAACCTAGTTGCTAAATAAATCAGGTTTAACTAATACCAGATATATTTTAGTCGTCAAAATTTTATAATAATTATGAAAATTAGTTTTTCAGAATTGAATGAACAATATTTAAATTTACGATTTTAGATTTTTGTAAATTTATAATTGTTTTCCAATATTTTTCATTATTTTTACAGAACTGTGAACGATGATAGAAAATCGCAAATAAAACCAATTAATAACTCCTTATAGTTCTTGTATAGTTTTATTCGTTTTTATTAAAAATTTATTTTAATAATTTTTGTTTAATAACATAATACTTTAATTATATGTAGTTAGATTATATAATTATGAAATAGTTAATAAATAAGATAAATAACAAAAAAATGAGTTTTTGATTAGAGGTAAACTGTACCAAGTGTGTTCCTACGTTTATTTTTATATTTTAAGATTTTTTTAAATTATTTAAAATATTTTGTTTTAACGTTCAAAATAGTTTACCAAGAAAAAAATAAATTGTTGATATATTACATGAATCTCTGATATATGTAATGCTGGTTGGTTAAAATTATCTCTTGAAATGTACTTTATTTTAAACAATTTTACAAATATACCCAATTTTTTACAAAAATGTTAACGTCGCGTAGTTATTATATGAACATTCGATGATAGGAATATATATTTTAATGATTACTAAAGCTTTTCATCGAATCCTTTAAAATTTTATAATTGTAATAAAAACTAGCTGTAAGTGGAATTCTGTCTTAAGGCAATTAGGGCATCGTGCCTTAAGGCAAATTGCTGGAACTTCCCGTACCAAAAATTATTATTTTTTTAAAAACGATTAACATTTTTGAAAAAAATTTAATTAAAAAAAATAGATTTGAGAAACTACAAATTTGACAAAAAATTACTTTTTTTGAAAAAAAAAATTATATGCAAAAAAAAATTTTTTTTTGAAAAAAAAATTTTTTTTTGGATACAAAAAATTTTTTTGAAAAAAATGTTTTCTTCATTTTGACATATTTTGGAAATTCTGAACTTTTTTTCAAAGCAATCGCACTGCTTGAACTGCATAGAGACGAAATGTCAAAGCGCGCATGTGCCGCGCCGCCGTCTAACGCATAAGCATTGGTACGGAACCCATAAAAATGTAAAAAATATACTTATTGTTAAAATCTCTATAAAATATCTGATAATTGATGTGCATATGTCTAATGATAATTTTTAACCGCCGAATGGCATTATTTTTTACTTTTTCATTAGATCTCCGAAACCGCTAGACCTGCCTCCATGAAAATTTGATCAATTCTACATCTTGTCAGTACAAGTAAAATGTTTTTGAATTATTCAAATCGGACGCTCCGTTCTCTTGAAAACGGAGGTACCGTTCTTGGCACTTTTTACCCCGTATCTTCGGAACGGCTAGACCTGCCTTTACCAAAAACTAATCAGCACGTCTCCTTATCAATACGAATCGAATGTTTTTTGAATTATTCAAATCGGTTGATCCGGTTCCCGAAATCGTCGACGAAAATTGTATCCGCACATACATACACACACATACATACATACATACATACATACATACATACATACACACACACACACACACACACACACATACATCCATTTTTCTAAGGTATGCCAAAATGTTCAGAAGGTTTGAAACGTCGAGAAATGCAAAAATTTTCATTTTCGATTTTTTTGCGATTACTATAACTTACCCTACGGGAAGTTAAAAAGAATCATATATTTTCTATAGATACTATAAATATTTTCTTATTACCTTATTAGTTCTCCAACTGGAAATTGTACTTTTTATATTCGTATGATGGATTAGCATCCATCATGTATTTATCTGGGAATTGTTCTCCATGTCTTACTATCTAAAATATAATTTGAGTTTAATATATATCAATTTCAATTTATTTTATATTATATATGCAGTATTTATACGCGAATATGTATTCATTAATTATTATTATCCATTAATTGATTTTGTTTTGTTAAACTATGTGGTCATCGAAATTACAAATTACTTGATGACAATTTAATCACATACCAATTTATAATTTTGTTTTAATTAATTCTAGTACATTGTTTAAAGCCATATTCAGTAATATGGAAATAATATATATTATATATAATATATATATAAATATATATATATATATATATAGATTTTTCGACTTTGAATCATATTTGAATGTTTTAACAGCTCATTCGTAAAAAAATAAGTTAAGAAAAAAATAATTTTTCTTCATTATACGTTTCGACACTTAATGTGTGTCATAATTCAGTAATCATCTTAATAATTTTTTTTCGGATTTTAAAACAAAACCATAATTATTAGAAAAAAGAGAATTATATTATTTAAATTCATAATGGAGCAAAAAATCATACTACTCCGTAAAAGTGACAGAACCAATGAATATAAAAACATTCATTGTTTTTTTAATAAAAATTTACGTTTAATCTTTTATAGAAATAATTCGGAGATATGGGGTGGCCACTTCTTCAGGGATTTTTATAATAAACTATTTTTGTAGATATGTTTTTAGATAAGTTTATTTCTTTTACTTAAATGTTTTCTTTTTTTTATAAAAAAATAGATTTATTTTTATATCATTACTTTTACGCTTCGATGAAATGACATCCCCTTCAGGAAATATTTAAAATAAACAATTTTTTTATCTATTTATACATTTTTAAGTCGTTTATCTTTAATATTTATATGATTTTTCAATATGTATAATTTTGGCTAATTGTACTTAACAAAGTCTATTTTTAATCTTAATTATTGCTTTTTTTTATTTTGCATTTTAATAGTGTTATATAACATATATAACATAATAGTGAAATGTGAAAATCAATTTAAAATTGAAATTTGCAAAATATGGATTTAATTAGGTCAGAACTCGCCCTGAATATAGACACTTCTCATATGTTTGATAGATTCATTTTTGACACCAAGGTACATGAGTCTATGTTTATATACTATTATATAATATATCACTTATATTATTATTTTTTATACCATATTCTTACCACAAAAACAAATTTCAAAGTTTTATTGTCGACCAAGTCCGATAATTTCACTTTAGGGACAAATTGCTCGACTGCACTTACTTCCGCTCGCGATAGAGGTAAAAATATGGAAAAAATCACAAATATATATATCAAAGAACTCATACTGTATATTTGGCACTAAATCAACGTATTAAGATAAATTGATTAGATGTGCATTTATATAATTTATTAATTACACAATCTGTTAAGTACACAATTTATTTATTGATTTGCGCATTTCGTAAGGTCGTTCATTGCGATACGTAGAAGTTGAGGAAAATCATATGCGTCAGTTCATAAACGTTCGGAAAGATGATGTCACAATAATTAACAAAATATGTTATAATCGTTATTAAATTCTGTCATTTTAATATATGCATATTCCATTTTGACCGTCTTAGGAACCACGAAAATGTTGTAGTCATTTCCATCGCTGAATCTTCGAATATCAGGAGAAAATTGAAGAAAAAACAACTCATTGATTTACTATAAGTAATTAGAGATTTCATTGGAGAGTTTCTAGATAATGTTGGTGGTGGTACCTACTAAATTGTTCAAAACATCTAATAATATTCTACCATTTTACGGATAACAATCAAGTACTACTTTTATTTTTGAATGCCACTAAAATATAAATGCATAAATATACTAGAATTACTTCCATTGATATTTAGGTGACGCCGTGTTTTTGCGCCTATAACAAAGGGTTGCTCCCGCCGTGTCCGTGTGCGTCACAGGTGAGTCTTGGCGCGAGATCCTGCACATGTGTGCCCCCCCCCCCGCGCCCCTGTCACTTGTATTTTGAAATAAAAAGATTTATACTCGCTTAAATAATACGTGTTAAATAGAGTGTCCGGCTTTAGGTGTCGTTCGGCGTTACGGGACTTCCCCCTATAGCTATAGAGTTCAGTGTCTGAACGAGCTTTCTAAAATATTATAGGCCTCGGACAAGTAGTTTAATTATAAAAATTCTATATTTGGCATAATGATCCGTCCATACGCCATGTGTACTGATCACCGTTGATGTCACACTTAAATGAAATAATTTTGTAAAACACGAAATAGCTTGTAATGTGTTAAATATATTAATTTAAATTAATACAATTACAGAAATTATGAACTTTTTTAAAAGGTATCAGTTGGAAATCGCATTGATTACTTTTTAGTGACAATGTAAATTTTATTTTTGAAATATAAAATTGGAAATGTTGTTGTCTATCTCATTGATTAGGTCTATTATAAACACATATATCAGAAATTGCTAAAATGCCACTAAGATCTAGTCAACATATGTTTTAAAAACGTTCTAATAAATATTCAAGCGGTCGATAACGTCTATTTGTATATATTTGAAAAGTTTATAAACATTTGAATACCATGCTAATTTATTATATACATACTCGTATATATATATATATATATATATATATATATATATACACAAAGTGTGTGTATTTGTATATTATATTATATTATATTATGCATGTGCGTGCATTCTATGACGGCTGGGAATTGTATTTAGTCTAGTGAGTATTTACTATAAAATTGCTAACACTTATTTATCCTTGGAACATATCATATTACTGGCATGTTTTGCATACACATAAGTACATTGACCATACATATTTCACCTTCAAATTGCATAAAGTTTTTAAATAATTAAAATCTATTTTTATTTCTTGTCTTAGGCGCATATGTTGGATTATGGTAATAGAATACTTATGGTTAATGACCTGATTAGGTAAAATGCAACTAACCTTGTTTTAATATGATTAAAGTTTGTCGACCTATTATATAAGTCTATGATGGTAATAAGAAATATTGAGAGATAGGTTTGCAAAGTTTTGTGATATTTTTGAGAAAGTGATTGTATTTCTGTTTTTAGTAATAAATTACTGTATTTTTAGCAAAAGTAGTGGTTGTTATTCTAAATGAGACACAAAT